CGGCAGAAGCAGTTGCACCACAAAGTCAGAGAAACAGCAAACAGAATGGTCAAAGAAGCACGAATCACACGAAAAAAATAATTTCCATACACGCGCAATTTCATTCCAGAATTTAAATACCGCGCTATTACTACGGAAATGATGTTTTCACCGGAACTTAACATGTTGAAAAGAGGAAGTAAACTTACTAGTATCCACGCCTCTCCGCGGCCAAATTCAAGATGGCGTCAACTGTAAAGTTTCGGGATTTAGCTGCTAGTTGTGCCGTGAATTTCGTGCGAGAGAAGAATCGGCGGATTTTTAACATCATTTCGTGTCCATCGATGTTTGCTTTCTTTTGAAAATTGCGAGAAGGTTCATCACTACAAAACGACGAAATTTCATGACGATCTGGGCGTAAATGGCGATAAAAATTCGTCGAGAACATGCCAAGTTGTGAACAATCTTCGCTCAAATTTGCTTCCGAAAAGTTGGCTAACGTGTAGTGAAACAGGTGAGTTCGCTTTTCAACTTGCGATCGGTTGATTATTTTTATTTTGCAATATTCCCCCACAGACTTGGTAGTTGGTACTGCAATATATACTGGTAACTACAACATTAAATATTTATGAATAAGTTTATCAATTCATCATAAATATTTCAAATGTTTAATAGAAAAAACAATATATTAGCAACACTAGATGAACTGATGACAAATACACACATGATGCATAGACTAATAGTTATGTCTCAGTCATTTTGTTCAACTGTGTGTCATGTAATGTTTGTTTTTTCTTCATACATGAGCAAATGAAAGACAATGGTCTTCTTTTCAGGGTCAATCTTATATTTATTGTTTAGATTACAGACCTGTGGACTTTGGTTGGTCAAATAATATATAAGAAAGCACTAAATTGCTGTCCCCAAACCTTTGCATGTTTTTGCATGAATTGTTCCTAAAAGACACATCATTCATATTGTGTTTCGTATAAGAGCAATGTTGTAATATCAAGTAATGTAATGATATAGTTTATGTACAATATGACATTGGAAAACAAGTTTCTAAACTGGAGTGTAAATGCTGCTCATAACTGCAGAGTCTCAGGTGTGCAAGAGAGAATTTTGAGGGTTAAGTTTTCTATAAAGTTTAATAATATTTATCCAAATTGGACAGAGATATAATAAGCATGTAAAAAGTTGCCTGATCACTATGTTCAAATTGTGATGTAGATTTAAACAGTTTAAACTCTGCCATTGATGAATTACACAGTTTTAATCTATAGTATTTCTCCAGAGTAAGGAATGTGTGAATATATAAGTTCTAGGGAAAGGGAGTTGAACTAATAAATATAAGAAGTACAAATATGAGAGCAATCTATGAGAGGTATTTCAGTCGTGCAAATAGAAGCATTCCGAAAAATGTTGACCAGTTCATTTCCTAACTTGAAGGAACACATCTGAACAATTCCTCAACAATTTGACCTGTTTCATTAACCAATCAGACTGCTCAAAAATAAAATATAAAATTTGATTGGTCAATGAAACAGGAAGTTAGGAACTTTTTAAGGAACTTTTCAAATTGTTGAGGAATGTTCAGATGTGTTCCTTCAAGTTAGGAAATGAACTGGTCAACATTTTTCAGAATGCTTCTATTGGCATGACTGTAATTGTGCAATTGTGAATTGATGCATTCATTATTAGTCAGTGTATGTATTTATATTCAGACATGTACAGTAACTATGCAACCTGCGGTATTTGGTTGGTTCAAATAAATTAGAAAGGAATTAGTTCTACTTGCTCTTACTAGGTTATTGGATGAATTTTTGAAAATAACTACATTCTGCCCAACAACAACACACTTCTGTCTTGATCAAATCAAAATTTCATGATCATTATTCAATACCATTCTTACTTTAGTAATATCCAAATGAGAAACTCAACTATGTTATTACAAATTAATGTCATGTGTGGTTTTTCAGAAGTTTCACTCAAGCTTCACCCTTAGGAATTTCACTATAGTTAAATATTACCAGGTACTTAGCTACATTTACAAGTTTTCTGTCCAGTATTCAAGATGTCTGAGAGGTCAAAATATCAAGTTTTATAGAAGCATTTATCTACTTCTGAGAATGTCATATTGAAAAATGTTATCATACTGAGGAATATAGATTTTCTTGATATATATTAGTATATTGAAATGATGTAATCTGCTGTAGAGTATATGAAATGATATAGGGGGTCTGTCAATACTCACACTAGTAGCAATTTTCATGCCACGTCCGCGTCATAGATTCTGCCTAATATTTTGTCAAACAAATATTAACGACTGTTGCGGAATTTAGGTTAACCCATGGTTGAGTATAGCAACCATACAAGTAAACAGTCATTTACATAGTATGCGCAAATATATAGTGTTATGGTCGTAAATTGTCTATGTATTGTTAAAGGAATTGTTATGTAAATGTTAATAGTGTAGTATAATATAGCATAGGAAATGGAGGGTTTGAGGTAGCACGTAGTAGCAACCGCGAAACCCACATAATAACGTCAGCGGACACGAATGTGGGTTGTAGTGGAGCGAAAACTACAGAAAAACATCCTGTAGTCCTGTAAGAGATGCGTCAGGGAAATGCATTATTGATTAGTAAAGCATCTTGTTTTGTTGTTATAAATATAGGTTAAAATCATTGTTGTAATTTAGTTGTGTATTAGAGTGTGAATTGTTGTAAAGTGTTGATTCCTGAATAAATGTAAAATTATATGCAGTCCCAGTGTGTACGATTTGTTTAGAGATTTTCAACAATGACCTCTTTCGTAATTATCGCTACTCTGGTTTTAATAAATAAAAGTAATCACCACACAAAGATTAACTTTCACGACCCAACGTTTCGACACTCCGGTCTAGTGTCTTCATCAGGGGTGATCTGATCATAGGTAGCCCAGAAATCTGTTTATACTCAGTCTTCGACCGCATTGTTTACGCGCGCGGTCAGCTTCTCCTGCCTGTAGTACAGGCAGGAGAAGCTGACCGCGCGCGTAAACAATGCAGTCGAAGACTGAGTATAAACAGATTTCTGGGCTGCCTATGATCTGATGTTGAAATTCAGTTCCTTATACTCTCAAAATGACGTCATCTATCAATCAGATGTAAATATTCTTTGGCAAATAGCTTCCGTCATCCCTATTTAGGGCACAAAGACTCGCATTAATATGCCAGGCTTCCAAACAACGCCTTTGTCCATAACGATCAATAGTGGTAATGACTTTTGAATCGTTCCACGCAATGTTATGGTTAGTTTGACACACGTGTTCCGCCAAGGCTGATTTTGAACTGTCTAAGTTGGAAACGGCCTTTTGATGTTCTTTTAAACGTTTTCCGAACTGGCTTTTTGTTTCACCTAGATATTCTTTCTCCCAATCACCACATGGTATATAGAGTATACAGCATGAGTTTTCTGTTTAGTCACTACGAGATCCTTGGGTTTTCCGAAAATATGTCCCAGTGTCTGAAAGGGTTTTAAGGCAACAGTAGGAGTGTCAGGAATACTGCCTACACAGTAAAAAACTCCACTCATTTCGTGGAATTTATTAGAGGTGAAACTCTAAACGCAGACCAAGTGCGCGTATCGTTTGATGTCGTTTCCTTGTTTACCAAAATCCCTGTCAATCTTGCCATCAAAGTTGCTGAAAAAAGATTCACAGAAGATGTTTCTTTATCACAAAGAACATCGTTACCTGTAATCGATCTTTTATCCTTTTGTCTCAATACGACTTATTTTACTTTCGAAGGCAACTATTACCTGCAGTTTTTTGGACAGCGATGGGATCCCCGGTCTCGGCAGTAATTGCTAACCTAGTAATGGAAGATGTCGAGCAAGAGCCTTAGCCTCTAGTCCGGTTAAACCTTTGTTTTGGAAACGACATGTTGACGATGTGGCCTCTGCGGTTAACAAAAATGAGATCGATAATTTGTTGAAACATCTTAATTCTATTGAGCCATCAATTCAATTCACTGTAGAGCGCGAGAGTGAGGGAAAGTTGGCTTTTTTGGATACTTATGTTCATAGAAATATCGAAGAGCAGTTAAAAACTGATGTTTACCGTAAACCTACACATACGGACAAATATCTATCCTACTCACACCATCTAAAAAGTTGTAAAAAGTCTGTTGCAAAAACTTTGTTTCAAAGAGCTGAATCGTTAACATCCAATCGCTTGCTAGGACAACAAGCGTGATTATGCCTCAGAGTACTGAGAGAGAACAATTATCCACGAAACTTTTTAAATGATTGTCTAAAATCCCCTGTCCCGACTAGATGCAATTCCTCAGAGGGAGATTCCTCAAAAACAGGTTTTGCTACAGAAAACTCATGCTGTATACTCATACCATGTGGTGATGCGAGAAAGAATATCTAGGTGAAATAAAACGCCAGTTCGGCACACGTTTAAAAGAGCATCAAAAGGCCGTTTCGAACATAGACAGTTCAAAATCAGCCTTGGCGGAACAAGTGTGTCAAATTAACCATAACATTACGTGGAACGATTCAAAAGTCATTACCACTAATGATCGTTATGGACAAAGGCGTTGTTTGAAAGCCTGGCATATTAATGCAAGTCTTTGTGCCTAAATAGGGATGACGGAACCTATTTGCCAAAAGAATATTTACATCTGATTGATAGATGACGTCATTTTGAGAGTATATAAGGAACTGAGTTTCAACATCAGATCACACCTGATGAAGACACTAGACCGGAGTGTCGAAACGTTGGGTCGTGAAATTTAATCTTTGTGTAGCAGAGATTAGCGATAATTACGATGGATTATATACCTGGTTGCCGTGAACTCATTAACGACAATTCCTAATAACCTCTTTTTACATATTTAAAGCTGGTCTTTGGCTCGACGTTTTCTTGTATTAGTGTAAACACTCAATTCTGAACCACATTTGATGTGCCCGTTTTGTGTGTAACATTTAAATCACCTGGATCCTTGTTTAATATTGTTTCTGTTATAATTTTAGGAGGAGATCTACCATTATTTTGCGTATACACAATGTTGTATAATGTTGGTTGAGTGTTTACAGCGAGGACAACTCAAAGTTATTCAACTCGTGTGAGAAGTTCTCTGAGTCAAGGTGCGAATAATTTATTGATTAAAAGATCTGTTTAATGTAGCTTCCTACAGCTAGTTCAGTTTACGTGATCTATAGTAAAAGATCGGATTAATGTAGCCCCTACAGCTAGTACAGTTTTACGTGATCTATAGTAAAAGATCAGTTTAATGTAGCTCCCTACAGCTAGTACAGTTTTACGTGATCTATAGTAAAAGATCAGTTTAATGTAGCTCCCTACAGCTAGTACAGTTTTACGTGATCTATAGTAAAAGATCAGTTTAATGTAGCTTCCTAAAGCTAGTACAGTTTACGTGATCTATAGTAAAAGATCCGTTTAATGTAGCTCCCTACAGCTAGTACAGTTTTACGTGATCTATAGTAAAGATCCGTTTAATGTAGCTCCCTACAGCTAGTACAGTTTTACGTGATCTATAGTAAAAGATCGGATTAATGTAGCTCCCTAAAGCTAGTACACTTTTACATGATCTATAGTAAAAGATCAGTTTAATGTAGCTCCCTACAGCTGGTAGCTACAGTTTTACGTGATCTATGTACAGTATACAGTAAATCAGCCAGACGTGCCTTGTCTATCTCTTTTGTTAAATCGGCGAAAAACGTTCGTTTATTTCATACAATGGCCTCTATTAATCAACTCTCTACATCAATGTCATCTAGACAACAGAGTGTTACTAGAGCATAGGTATTGAAATTGATCAGGGTATGCATGTTTCGAGTAAAATTAGACTTCGCATTGGCACATTCTATGAGTTATTTAGGCAATAAAAACTAGGAATTTAATTTTGATGTTCATCATCAATGGAGAACCAGCATCCTCATCATGCACAATCGTATTGTCCCATTGATACCGATGGAAACACCAGAACAAGATTTAAGTCGTTGATGGCCACCAATTAGCATGAATTTAAATTTCTTCTCATTCAAGGTTAGGAGATTGTCTGTGAACCACTTTCCAACATTTGCCAGATCCTCGTTTAATTCAATACCTTGACTGTCTTTGAAGAAAAGTAAACGACAGTATCATTCTCATACATAGAGATATTACATGACTTGATACAATTGGGTAAATTGTTCACATTCACATAGATAATGAATAAAAGCGGCCCAAGAATGCTTCCTTGTTGGACCCCTACATTCACAGGCTTTACAGAGGACTGCTTATTATAAACGACGGTGACTTGGCATCTGTGAGTAAGATACGATTTGAACCATTCACAAACATTGAGAGGAAAAACCTATATAGTGTGTCCAAAAGCCACGCCTCCGCGAGGCAGCTCATTCCTCCGCTGATACTCCGTTATTTCAAAGACGTCTCCTTTTTTGATAGGGACCTGACTTGATAAGATTTTGTATATATTTTATATTATTTTAAATTGCATGAATTTACTGTCTCTTTCCCATATTATAACCTCTTCGTTCCTAGCTATTACAACGAATAACAATTCTAGTTCAAGAGTAATTTAAACGCAGAGCCCAATACTAAAACCCTGAAACCCTAATAAGTTACTGCATATAGCTATATGGCGTAGAAATGAATGAGGCGCCTTTCAAACATCGACTATTCATGTTCCGAACCTAATGTTAATGAGATAAAGTCTATGCTTAAGTTCATTTTGCACTGGATTTGGCACATGAAAAATTCGACGTCTGAAACGAGCCTAACTTGCACTAATGTGTTGGACCTAAGGCCCCGTTTCCACGTAGTTTGATACAAGTTTAACCAGAAAATGTTCAGTTACTTGGGACTATTCTTTGCATCATATCTGGCCGTAGCAAGAGTATTTTTAATGCTTACTCTGTGCTAAAATTTGGTTGAAGCGCAGGGTCCTCGAGAATGATTTTTTGTAGCTTCTTGTTAAATATTTCGAAATTTTTTGAATATTATATGCCGAGCGTAGCGAGGCAGCACACTATTCTTGCTACGGCAGAGATTTCTCCAGAGTTCATTCGACCCAGTCTTCTGCGCCGAACTATGTATAGTCGAAATCTCGATTCGTGTCCGTTTGTCCGATGGATGTCTGCATTTTCCGGGCCAAAGGTCGATCATCAAGTCACTTGTAAAATTGGGGGGAGTGGACAAAATATTAGAGCCGTCGGTACTGGACAAATGGGATATGCAGGGATGTTTTTCTTCTGCTTTTATACAGATACATACATATACATGAAAGCGATGTATACAGATACATACATATACATGAAAGCGATGTATACAGATACATACATATACATGAAATTCGCGTCGCGTGTCGATTCGCGTCCGGTGTGTCTCGGCCTTTAATCACGTAATTGTATACGAAGTAACGCAGGATCGGAACAGAAGATCAAATAGCAATAAGCAAATTAAAAGGTATTAAAATAGCAAGTTTAAATATTAATAGCCTACTAAAACATATGATGAGCTCCGTGTGCTTTTGACTAATTCTTCCTTGGATATTCTTGCAATTAATGAATCAAAGATTGATGATTCAATAGCAGATAATGAAATTAATATAGCTGGATATAACATGATCCGCAATGATAGAAATAGATCTGGGGGTGGCGTAGTCCTTTACATTAGAGAAAATATATCCTTTTCTGAAAGGAAGATCTCCTTCCAGAACGCTTGAAATGATATGTATTGAAGTACGTAGACCACATAGAGTGGCTTTCTTAGTGTAGGCCGCCTAATTCCAATAACGACGCCTTAATGAACTCGATTTATTTCTGTGTTAATGTGCGTACTCAGTTATAGTTAGACACGTTAAAAGAAAACTATCCAAACAGCTAAAAATTTGGTTGAACAGGCAGGGTCCTCGAGAATGATTTTTTGTAGCATCGTATTAAATATTATGCGTATGAATATTATGCAAAAGTAAAGGCAATTTATTTATTTATTCTTAATATTTAAAAAATGCTGCTATTAGCACTCCCAAATCTCCAGTAGATTAGTAGCCTGTGCACTGACGTAATTTATGAGGAGCGTTGCGTCTGTGCACAGGCTAGTTGATTAGTGAAAATAAGGTAGATCTCCATATTTTCACGAGACGCAAATCCAAGTGAAAATGCTTTTTACGTGTTTATATCACTTTAAAAAGCTTATAATTGATAAACCATACAACATCCTTTATATAATAGTATTATAAGAATTATTATCCTGACTGTGTCTCTGGTTTAGGGGATTGTGAAGTTGATATTTAAAGACAACAATGGATCCATTGAAAGCCAAAGCTAATTATTCCAGGGTATGTCATTTGTTGGTAGATAAAGGTGGAGATGTTTTAGAAATGCTTTGCATGCGGTGCATCCACCTTCCACCTTAGCTTCTTTATTGAATGCAAACAAGAAGACCTTACAGAGAATACGATACAGTGCAATTAAAGCCTCGCAATGGGATCTACTCTTCCCAAAATCTGGTACACCAGATTCAAAAAACTTTGATATTACCCTATTGACTGTCCTACTCCGAAATATTTGTGGATTGTCCGCACCAGCCACCGGATGGAATGTGATGCCTCCAGTCAGCGATACTTCTATATCTGCAAATATTTTAAGAGTCAAAATGTTTAGAAATGAAGTCTATGGTCATATTCCGACTGCTGGTTTGGACGACGTAACGTTTGAAACATTGTGGCAAGAAATTTCTGTTCCGTTAGTCAACTTGGGAATTCCCCAAAATGATATTGATGAATTAAAGGTGGCTCCTCTTAGCCCTGAAGAAGAAAGTTATATTGAAAGATTAAAAGAGTGGAAACAACAAGAGGATGATTTTATGTCAAAATTAAACGATGTTGAAAGTAAAGTAGTCAAATTAACTAAGAAAGTTGAAAATGTTCATCTCGCATGTCGAGCAACTGGCTAAATTTAACTTTGCTGGAAAGATTCGTGACCTTTGTAGAAAATTTCAAGATGGCACCAGAAAGTGGTTGTTTGAATAACTTTCAAATTGGTTTCGGAGTGATGAAACCAGGGTCTTGATCTTAACTGCAGGTCCAGGTGTTGGGAAAAGTGTTTTGTCTGCAAAGCTTTGCGAGCTTTTTAGAGAACGTGGTCAACTCGCAGCTCACCATTTCTGTGACTTTCGAAATTCTGATTCCAGCAATGCTCAGAGAATCCTCCAGTCTCTTGCCAGTCAAATGTGTGATAATGTTGAAGGATTTCGTGATAAACTAACAGAAATTCTTCGTCGTGAACATTCTCGTGACTCGCTGTCAGACGCATTTCGTGTTCTTTTGAACGACCCCCTCCATGCCCTTGACAGACACGATCCAATGTTGATCATCGTTGATGCTTTGGACGAGAGCAAAACTGAAGAGAAAAGCGAATTTTGGAGTTGATATCTGAGAAATTTTGTGAACTGCCTGATTGGATTAAGATATTCATTTCAAGTCGACCAGAGCTACAAGTACGAAAGATTCTTGAACATCTTCACCCGTGGGAAATCCGTCCTGATGACGAAGATCACAACCACGACATAGAGCTTTTTGTTCGTCATAGTTTACCTAATCTTGATGATTATAGTATAAGGTTAGTTATTTCAAAGTGTGAGGGATCGTTTTTGTACGCTTATTACTTGGTCAGTGAATTGAGAGAAAAGGGCGTGGGAATTGAACCCGACCTAAGTGATTACATCTCCAACAGTATTTCCGGTTATTACGAAAAACAGTTCGAACGTTTAGACATAGGCGTCAAACGTTTCAAGCAAGATACCTCATGTCTCTTAAACAGTTTCATCAATGTCGTTGCCGTTTCTAAGGAGCCCCTCCCAATAAAAGTTCTTTTCACATGCATGGGTCTCTCTAAAGACGAATTTAAAATACGTAAAGCGGTTCTTGACCTAATGTCAGAGATTCTTCCAGTTTACGATGGGTGTCTGACTGTTTATCATAAGTCATTATGGGATTGGCTGACATTGAACGGTTATGAAGAACATGCATTCGTTGCAGATGTTGAAGATGGCAATAGACGTCTCTGGCGTGCTTGTAAGAAACAATTCTGTGAGATAGATGCTTTGAAGTCTGTTTTAG